AATAATAATATGATAGTAATAACTATCATAATAGCGAGTGAAATATAAAAATAAAAACTTAATTCCATACGATCACAGATTTGATACTTAAAAATTAACATATACTAATATTCTAAATTCTAATTTCCTCTAATCAACGTCGTGAGACATGTGAATTATAGGTATAAAAATAAAGTTTTTGGGAAGACGTATTAGCTGAAGTCACCAATATAAATATATTGACTGACATTGACTTAAAACTAACAAAATATAATACTATGTGCATAATAGTCTAAAGTGCAGCAGTATATACATTAATATCGATCCGGACTATCCTGCGATGTGGTGCAGTGTCCTTTATCGAACGATTAAACTTTTTTATAAATAATATAATATGTTTTCTTAAAATCTAGTAATGTGCAATGTGTGGTGCATATTTATAACGAGTGCGGTAACGTGATATAATATTATAATAAAATAGTGATCATAAAGTATTATGTTTAATGATTTATAGTGCTGTTAATGTGTTAAAAGTGCGTGTGTGAGTGTGCATATTATGTGGTGCGTGTTGGTGCGATTGTGCAAATCAAAACAAGTGCGAAATCGGTGCGAAAAATGGTGCATGTATATAAATATAAAACGTGTGGGTGCTTGTGTTAAGTAAAATAAAATAAAATATAAAATATAAACAATATTAAAAAAAAACAACGAAAGACATGAGGTACACGCTACACGCGGTGTACATAGTAATATTATTATTATGACGGTTACAATGTTGTGTTTACCATTATACCTATATAATATAATATTATATGTGTGCGTTAAACGATTTACGATTTCTCCTCTCCCCCTCCCCCCTCTAACATCAGACCCGCACCTAGCAATCGTCATATCTCATATACCAAGTGTACGGTCRTCGTAGTGGGTCGTCAACGGTCGTCCATGCGCAAGTGTCGGAACTTGTCGACCGCGTCCGCCGTCGGGTTGGATCGGGTCGCCGCGGGTCTTTCGTTTTCCCCGTTCTCCAGCATCTCGTTGGCCGCGTTTTGGGCGCGTTCCTTGACGTCTCCCGCTCGGCGGTCGTGCCCGGCCGTGAACAGATTCTCCAGACTCTTCCAGTGCTTGTTCAAGTTCACCCTGGCCGACCTGGTGATGAGCCGCAGACAGTTGGCGTTGTTGTCCCGGTACGGTTTCAACGCCTATATTAATATGAGAGAAGAAAAAAAATCGATTAAAATCGAAAAAATTTAAAGCGGTATAACATACTACAATCGGACGCCGCGCGTTTATGGCCGCAGACGACTCGATAAGTATTACAGTGACTCGGACGTCATATTTATCGAAGTTCCCAAAGTTAATGTTTATTATAATATATTATCACTATACTATATAATAACACGCAGTTCAACGTAATACCATAATATTTAGCGAGATACGTACTTGTTTCAAATCGTTGAGACGGTTGGCGTAGGAGTTGCTGTGGTTCTTCGGCATCGGGCCCATTTTCGGATGCTGACGGTACGATGCACGGCACATGACTGCACCGTCGACGAATTGAACGGATGGTCTCTGATGGCTCGTATACTTGTATATTATGTTATGTCTGTAACGTCGGAACGTTCTTCCAGGTGCGTCGTTTCTCGGTGAGCGCGGCCAAAACTCACAAGGTAGCCGTAGTCGTCGGGTCCCGGATCGGAATGCGGTCCTGATCTCGTCCGCAGCAACCTTATATATACCTATAATAAAAACCCGCCACCGCCGCCTCCTCGTCCTCGTATGATGTGAAGAATACAACGTACCATGTGTGTGTGTGTGTGTGTGTGTGTGTGAGAGTGTGCAGTGTGTACACGGTCCATTGTCGTTCCCCGTATGGCATACACGCGCACATTACGCTATATAACGACTAATATATATAAGTATATACAAGTTTAAGAACCGCCCCGAAAAAATATATCCAAAAATCTTATACATTATAATATTATACGTTATTGTGTCTCTCTTTCATCATAACTTACAATATATAATAATATATTTTATGGTATAACAATGTGTGTATAATACAGTACACACACACTGTACAGCGCTTTGACTCTCATGAAAAATAATATATAGTAATAAGGGTGCTGTAACAGATCTGACTCTTTCACACACACACATATCAAAAGTGTTATTAGCTATCACAAACAATTATAGCAGTAATGCAGTATCATTGCATATATATCCCTATAACGATAATAACAGATAATWCATGCAAAAACAATAAAATATTYTTCGTAATAACCGAAATACTCGTGTATGATGCATYTTTAACGCTGTGAATTAACTTTTTTGAAATTATAACGATTTTTGAAATGCTATTACAATTTTAGTGCTAWATACATTTATTTTTCGTAAAATACCTATTAACATTAACGAAAAATGTATTTCTGAAATTGTCTTAAAAAATAGTTGATTATCACTCTGCAGTTGGCTTAAATTGCGTATCGTTCATTAAAAAAATATTTATAAAAGAATACTCTTTAAGTTCATCGGTTCAATAAATTTGGGTACTCATCCTTCGTCCTAACATCCCCTCACCAATCTTCAAACTAAAAAAAAAAAAAACCTTATAACAATAAAGTCGATCACTATCTACACGTATAATAATATACTCGTATGGAACAGAGACGATACGCACAACCTGATCTCAATTCTTTTTGACAGCCTATATTTTGCACGTCATGTACGTTGTTAATGCAATAAATAATAATATTGATATCGGTATTTTCATTATTCTTGCGTAATATATTATTATTATTGTTTTTCGATACCTTTGTCCGTATGTCTGGCTCTGTGACGCGTCGTCGTGTCCAAAGATGCGTTTTATCGGCGAACATTATAATCATATTATATTTTTATAGGTAATATTTTATTACATGTAAGCATYAATATTGAACGTATGCGTTTATAGGGTTATTACTTATTTTTTTTTCTACTTATGGACGCACGCATAACATAATATTATCATTATTATCCGTGCRCAAGTATAAAATCATATAAATATTTTCATCGTTATACTATACGCACACTCAGCTGTATTGTTGTTGTTGTTGTCGTCGTCGTCGTAGTATTAGTCGTTTTATTGTGATTTTGGCGGGACAGTGAACAACATGAGTCATCATATGGGCTCGGAATTTATATGCACTAAAATATTTATAGACCAAAAATGCCCAAGTATAAAATATTGAAAGTATGTAGGTACACCAGACGTATTATGATCACAATATATTTTATTGTACATCAATATATCATCATAAAAGCCATATGTTTAATAAAGAAAAAAGTATGATTTTGGTTTTAAATTGGTATAAGATAAGTTTCAGTGATGTTTATTTAGAAAAACTTCCATACAACGAAGTCGCAAGATGGGGAACAATAAAAATTCGTGATATAGAGGAATTCGTTAAATACAATCACACATTTATAACAATGAAGGTCATGGTTCTCAAAAATAATCAATTGAACAGAAAATTTCGGTATATAGAAGTTTCATTGTATATTAATTTATTATTTTATAGTTTTTATTTAAAAAATATATATATATATACATATATATATAGTTTTTATTTAAAAAATATATATATATATATTATATATGATATAAAACAATATAGTTGAGTGGGTAGACTTTGAATTTATCTTTTTTTCTATTGAATTGGAAGTCTTTATTAAAATCTTGTTTTTATATTCTCGAAATTGTACGTTAGGTATTTTATTTAAGTGCATATAATATTATAAATTTAATATTTGTACATTTATTTTGTTCAATCGACGAAAATTGTTGCCTGCAAAATCACTCACTCAGTTCTGATGAATCTTGTACTATATAGCTRCTATATATAACAATAATAATATTTCAGGAATGTGCAATTTTTTTTATCACATTTGATATTTTATTAAACATTCGAAAAAATACGATAGAGCATAAAATATTTTGAGTGCCATAGCCACATTCAAATCAAGCTTTATTAATTTATTATAATAAACAGCTAAAAAATTGTTTTCTTCTTGAAAATAATAAACCACTYGAGAGAGATTAGATCTCTCCCAAAATATTTCCTAACTTAACCTTGCAGCGTTAATAAAATAAATAATGTTATTTCGTAATATTATTCACGAATTTACGTATTGATTGATATTTTTATAGCTGCCTCCTCCCGGATTTTTAACTACATTTACCCCTGCATCTATGCCTATTAGGGGATAGCATATATTCACGAATTCAACCTTTACATGGGAAATCATTATTGTATATTGGCTACCAAAACTTACCCCTCACAATTTGCTTACAAATGTATATGTTTGTATAACTTCATTTCAGTCGGACCATAGTCTTTGCATTCCGTGTCTTCCTTGACCGACCTGAGCCAACCGAAATTGTWTAGGTACATTAATATTATTATATCCAATTGTAGCGCATATACATCATATAATTATTGTAGTGAATCGAACGTGGATGAGGTGGGTTTTTATTTATTTTTTTTATTATTTATTTTTTTATTAAATTAAAGTGTTTCTGACATACAAGGTCATCGAACTTATTGATATAATAAAGAATTTTTAACATCATTAAGTTGTTAAGCGTAAATTAATTACAATATGTTTTTATTTATAAATTCATACAGCCATGCGTACTAAAAAAAACTAGACTAGAAAACGACTAAAAAAAATAAAAACCACGTTATAGATTGTTATAAGCTTATTACCTCGTTATTATATTAGGTCGTTCATGGTGCTCTGTATCACTTAGAGTAATTTAATTAGAAAAAACGACATCATTTATATTATTATATAATATAATACTATTATATTGTAAGTTATTTGTAATATTTCAGATTTTAGTGCGATCTCAGCGCTTCGACCACAATATAAACATTTATCATATACAAACTTAAACCTCTTTGCAGCTGCAGTTGGTATACGAATATAGACATAGACGTCATATTATACAGTAGAAAAAACAATCGTTCAATTCGAATGGAAAATAGAAATTAACGAACATGCATGTCTGAAGTGTACAATCAGTATATAAGCTCGCACGCCACACTTATAGTAKTAAAGCTATATARCATATCATACATAATGTTGAGGCCAAGGCCTATCATGGTAATCCAACCATTTATTTAAGTTATCGTTGTACAAATTATCCATTTATACACTTTAATGTCTGCATAATATGTTATGTACCTGCATGTTAGCATAATTAGGTTACCGACAGAGCCCAATTTCTGCAGTAGTAAGTAAAGTTAGGTCTCTCCAAATAATCGTATACTTACTCGGTAAGTGTTTTAAAACAAAATATTAATTGGGCTACTAATACAAATGTTTTTATAACCTAAATGATACGGGATGGCRTATTCGCGTTTAAATTATATTTTTAACAAATAATATAATATTATGTATTATGGCAACTTATTATAAGATAAATATGAGTATATAATATTTAATTGAATCAAACATTTGCTATTGTTTGGTAACATTACATTTATTTTATTGAAACATTATAGCTACACAATATAAAACAACTTTTACTATGCAGAAAAGAAAATTAGTAATTTAAGTAAATCAATTATTATTTATTTTCACTAGATTTTTTTACAATAATATTGCGCCACATGTAGCTACTATTACATAGTACTTATATGTTTTGAAATATGACATTTTTTGTCCTACCGTTTGAACCTGTTTTATAGTTATTTTTAGAACTGTCAAACAAATTTTTATTTTTATAAATATTT